CACGGAGGAAGAATGGAAACACAGGTGAAAGGAAAAAAGAAAGAAATGACTCATTTTCCATAGGGGGAACAGGGATGGCTCAAGGGGAGGTGACATGTGATCAGGCTCTGAAGGACAGGAAATGACAGTCCCTTTCATATCACATGCCTCCGAGATGTGGCCTTTCCCGTGCGGTATCTTGGAACGCTCCAGACAAGCCCAATGACGCAGGTGCTATTTTATTGCCATTTCGCATGTAAGACAAGTGAGGCTGAGAGAGGTTAAATATTAACAACTTATTAGCAATCACACAGCTGGCGAGTCTGACTCCAGAGCTGGGCTCTTAATCCCTGTGCGCCACTCTCTTTTACATTGTAAAGGGTTTTATAGGACAGAAGGAATATTCTGGAAAGGCAGGTTAATTTACGTTTGTGTCTATGTCCCTAACCAGGCGATGAGGATCTTGAAGTCAGAGACTTTGCCATGTTCACCTTAGCAACCCCAGTAGCCTGCGTCATGCCTGGAACTTTACAGAGATTTATTCAATGAATGAATGAGTGAGTGAATGAATATGTTTTTGACCGGCAGAAATTGAGGGAGACCATTCCAGGTAATGGAAACAAAATGTGCATATGCTTGTGATCGAGGAGCATGTGACCGTCCAGGGGAACAGGACATCTGTCCCATTGTTGCAGAAGTCTAGAATTTTCGAATGGACACTGTGGCTCCAGTTGCTGGCTATTCATTCCAGCCTTCCTCCAGGGAAACACATTCCCACATTCCTTGACGCCCGCTTCGCTAGTGTGGCTGGTGGTTCTGAAACCCACGGCTGGGGCAGGAGCCCTGATTCTGCAGGCAGCTCCCTGGCGGGGGCAGCTCCCTGGTGGCCCAATTCTGCTGTGTGACTTAAGAGTTCTTTCTGGAAGTTCTGCTCAGAGTCCTTTCCTGCAGCCTTCCCAGTGATTCTCTAACTATTTGTGATAAACGATATTTTGCTGTTTTTTTTCCTTTCAATTTTCTGTTGGTTCTATTATACTGCGCAAGACTGTTACACAGCTCATGCCACGTGCAACTCACAACACCTACACTGGCCTATCCCCTGCTTAGACAGACCAGCCCATCAGTCACAGCCTCGTGGATGTCATAGCATTGTCAAGCTGATGCAGATGATTCTAAACACTCTCAACCAAACACTTGGTTACTGGACCAAGGCAGCCAGTAACAAGGGGGTAAGCCAGGAACACACAACTTTGCCAACAATGCCACCCAATACTGGATGGCAACCCATCCAGCTCATCTTCTCTCTTGGGCCATCTAAATGACAGCAAGAAGCTGAGTCCAAGAATGAT